ACAAGGGTTTTAGAACAACCCCCACCTGATTTCGTTCTCGCTGCTTGCAGGCCTGCATCCTTCGTGCTTTTCAGGAGTTGCGGCCAGGCCCTTTATGTGTCTGCGGAGCCAGTGCTGCTAGGACAGCTTGAGGCTTCACCTCACCTTCCTGTCCAGGAACCTTACCGACCCATGTTGGCTGACACCATGGGGCTCCATGGGTGTCGCTTGGATTCCATGGATCCCTTGTAGTCACTATAGCCACGGCCAGAAGATCAGATGCCAAGGCAGGAGAAGAGGCAAGAGCACTTCGCATTGACTGCGTATCTTATTGCTGCAAACCACGAACCTGCTCAGCCACAGTTGCAACTGCACCTGATTTGGGGCTGCCGCGAGATGTTAGCAGAACGCCGTCGACCATGGCTGATGTGTATTTGGTTGTTTGCAGGTCTAAAGTACACTTACTCGCTGCGTCTGTTCGACAAATGGTGCACCGTAATGAATTCACGACTACCGCAAATTCGCATGCCGATGGCGGGAACTTCTCGCTAGGAGTTGGGAGACTTCGGAACTGAGCGCGGGTTGTTACTGCTGCAACCCAAACTTGCGCGCACATTTTAATTTATCATGCTGCAATTTTTCCTGGGACTTTATCGTGCTCAGATGTGCTTAAATTATGTCAGAATCATGCTACGGAACTACCGAAAGTAAGCATGCGAACATCTCCGCAAAATGACGTCCTCTCTGGATGCAGAAGCGCAAGTCTGCTGGAAAGGTCAACCTCACTCAGCCAACAAGGCCTCAGATGCCCAAGATGGGTCTTGTCCAACGTGTCCACGTGTCTATACCCTATATAAGTTGGATTTCATTCGCCTCCTGTTACTCTTGAATCCCATGCTATCTGCACCTGGCTGCTGCGGCAACCACATCCTGTTTCGTCAGCCACTCGAAAACAGCCCTGAACGCTTTTTTTGAAAGGGGCCTACAACAACATCACCCGCAACATCCCGCAACCAGCCAACTCAAAGCGGGTGCGGTTTGGGCAGACACTGGCAAAAAAGACGATGCCGCTACATCGACACGTTTTGTCCTCTGCTGGTTTTGCCAAGCGCCTATGGTTCTGATGATCTCTGCTCTCACACACTTGCGTTGGTGAAGCTGTTCATCGTGCATGTGCTGTGCAGGCGGTTGTGAGCCACATATAGCAGACTGCCTCACTCCAGCAGCTGCCTCACATGCGATGGAACCATGCTTGGAGGCTGTCTTGCGACGAATTCCCGCAGCTGTGCTTTCCAATCCGGATGCTGCACCAGAACGTCCTGCAAGAACTTGTAGAATGCATTCACGTCATGCCGATGCAGGCCGCTACATATTAATATCAGAGTAGCACATCTCTCTGATTGTCCTCCAGCTGAGAAAGAGGAAGCATGGCCAAGACTCGGGCTGCTCCGCTTGGCTGGCTTGCAAATGTGTGCTGCAGCACGATCATGAAGCCTCGCCTGGGTTGAAGGCGTTTAGCAGTTTAGCTGTCCCGAGCCACAGACAGAGGAGTCAGAGGAGGGCACCACATATTCTCATGCGCCCAGACCTCTTGTCGGACAAGACGAGGAAGAATCTCCATGACAACGAAATCTGAAAGATGAGGAAGCTCCTTCACCTAGGCAGTCACCCTGTAATTGCGTCCATCCCCGCCATGCATGACTGCTCACACTCTGAGCCTCTCGCAACTTGAATGACAGTGCGCATGAAGAGCGTTGGAAGTGGACCAGGCTCTTCGACAAGGGACTGGATGACAATCCCATAGACTTTGGTGTCAAATTGGTCCTGTCTCATCATCTCTTGCCGACTTACAGAACCCAAATCGCTGTGACCAACGAAAGCTTGCGCATGCCGTGCATCACAGCAGTCCCGCATGTCAAACACAATGTTAAGAGCTTGCATCGAGCATTTTCGAGGTACCTGCCAAACTTTGAACGCTTCTGCAAGTGGCACTTCATTCGCCATCCAACAGCACTGTGGAGACTAGTGACTAGTGGACTAGTGAGGCATCATAGGCACTGCTGTGAGCCTGCTACCTTGACTTCAACGCCAAGCCACAATATCTTCTCCCGGGCTGTTAACATGGTGGAGCTCAGTCAGCAACTCTGTTACCTTCATGTCAAAAGGCTGAGCTACTCCAAGTCGACCTGCTACAGGACAGGATGAACCCTCTGAGAGCTGGGCGCTTATTGGGGGCGTGCGAGAGCCAATTAACAGCCGGAAAGCATCAGCCACGAGATCTGCCTCCAACTGTAGAACCTTGATGCTGCCAGTTGATTTGCTGTAGGATCTGTAGGACCCATGGCTGGCCTACACATGCCACAGTTTGTCTTGCTGAAGCACGTTGAGGGCCACCCACATGAAGATACAAGTCTTCAACGCATGCCACCTAACTCTGGACTCGGGAGTGAATTTGCGCATCGTGCAATGTAGAACCTGGGCAGTCCTTTCAAAATATGACCTCACTTCTTCCCAAATTATACTTGACCTCAAAACTGCTCGCAGTGTTGGCAACAAGCCACATACTCAACCAGCACGAATGTAGCGCTGCACCTGCAGTGTGGTGCAATGAATGCTGGATACGCCCACAGTTTCCCACGGAACTTCCCAGCCATGTCAGCAGATCGGCAACCGAGGCTCCTCAGACGTCTCCTGAACGTGACTCCCCGCCATCGTGTCATCTTGCAAGCGTCCAACTGTTCAGGGGGCGAAACGTGTTGTGGATAGGCTGCTTTTAAGTGAGTCCTATTCACGGAAACGAAAGCAGCAAAATGCCGGAGATTCGGAGACGCATACATCTCACGAGTGCGCTGGCAACTTAATTTGCCATAAAGATGAAGGCCGCATTGCTCTGGAAACCAGAGCTGCACTCATAGCCGGACAGAGGTGGACGGCGCGCCGCGATTGCAGTTATTGAAGGCACCCTTGCAGCCCTGCGCTTGGTCTTTGAGAGCAAGACTTTATACTGATTCATGCCTTCGGGCTTATTGAAAAAGACCTCATCCCCATTGCTTTCCTTACGTAGCCTATCCGCATATTCCGCGTTCATGGGATGATTTTTATACAGCGGTGGTAGTAATAAGATTAACCGGCCCCAAAATTCCGTGAAAATGGCAGTCAAATCAAAACCCTCTCCTGCTCCTCTTTCTCCATCTCCTATGCTTACTCGCTATCGATCTTCAGACTACTACTCCTACTACTCCTATTATACACCTATTATACTCCTACTACGACGACGATGACCACCGAGAGACAGCTCAGGCCCGAGGCCGCAGTTTTATTTGTTACGACCACGCATTTCCCGGACCTTTGTTCCAGGACCCGTCCAGCAGGGGGGCGGGGGTTGTGAAAATGATCTCCACGTTGCCCTGGCTTCAGCGTCCTAGGCATGGGATTGCGGTGTTTAGTGCTATCCAATCATCCATACAACTGGATGGTGCACCGGCAGGCGTGGCTTTCGTTTGACTTCAACCTCAACCATGATTCAGCTGTGTAAACAGCTCCAACGATGAGAATTTCCAAGAACCACGGCCAGCTACGAGTCAGTTAGTCAGTTAGTGGAAGCTCGAGTGGTAAAGAACGAAACCACTTCTGCAAAACTCTGCATCACTTCTCAAACATCGCTAGGCAGAGATCATTGGGAGGCCCCAGACCAAACGTGCACACATGCCAACTGATATGTCAAGCATCTGACATCTTCATCGAGCTGGCGCTATGAAACGAACAAAGTTGGTAAAGCTTCGTGTTTCACAAGGCGGCAAAAAGACACGGCTTGGCGGCGCTTGAACATTGCCAAGACCCAGCCTGGGACATATGGTGCTGTTTCATCACTGAGCCTGCAACTGACGGCAGGAAGTCGAGCAAAGTGTCTCCTTGCAACATAGACTGTGGCTCTCCTAGTTACGCTTGGAATTGCAAGCCGCAGCATCTGTACAAGCATGCACTCAAACAACAGTGCACAATACAGTACGATGCGCCACAAAAAGCACAATTAGACTGTGTGGCTACTCGCGAAAAGCGCAGATGGTCTGAATTTTTTAGAGATAGTCGCAACAGCCGGGCTCCCCAATCTCATGCTTAGGACGCTGATGTCTTGTTCTGAGCTATCAATAACTCTGTGGCGGCTGCAGCAGCAGCCTCGCACTGCAGTACGGGTAATGATGTCACTGTATGCCAATTACAAGCGCAAGGCCTCAGAAGGATTCTGGAAACGCCAGTAAAGATCACAAGAACACCTGTACTGACGATATGATGATGATGATGATGATGATGATGGTTGTTAAACCAGTGCCAAGTCCAGGTGACGCTTGCCGACAGCACTGGGGCTCAGAGGGCAGGGTGGGTAGTGCTTGACGGAAAAGGTGAGCAGGGCTCAGGCTTCGGGAATAGGACAGGGTCCTTGAAGAGTAGAAGGGTCGGGGCATCCTAGGCTTAAACTTTGGGGTCTGTAGGGGCAGGACCGGGCTACCTTATTCACATTGGTAGCGGAGCCCGGCCTGTCATAGTGGGGGTTAGACCACTGTGTAAACAGGGGAGTTCCGGGGTTGACACCCTAACTTTGGGGAAAATAGGTTAGGAGTGTAAAACAAAGCCAGCGCTGAAGCCATGGGCACAGAAGCAGAGACGGGAACTGGGGGCGGACCCCCAAGTCACCTTCCACTGCAGCTGATCCCTCGCTTTTCTCCTGGGGTGACAAATGTGGACGAGTATGTGAAGAGACTACAGTTCTTGAGGGAGCTGTGGCCAGTGGAACACTTGTCGCTTTTGGGACCTCGAGCAGCCCTACTTGTCGAAGGGGCCGCTTTACAGAAGGTGAGCCGTATCTCAACGGAGAAGCTTAAGAGTGCGGATGGAGTCAAGATCTTGGCAGAGCAGCTTGGCGGCTCCTGGGGGCGACTGCAGGTGGAAGACAAGTTCCACTATTTCGAGCAGGCCATCTTCCAGACCCAACAGAAGCACGACGAGACAAACGATTCCTACATCGCACGGCACGACGCCCAGTTCGAAGAGTTGTTGTCGAGACAGGTGAGCTTGGAAGAGGTCCGTGCTTACGTGTTGCTGCGACATTCGCAGTTGGCACCGGAGGATAAGAAACGAGTTATCGTGGAATCCAAGGGTGACCTGAAGTATGCGGAGACAATCAAGGCAATACGCTTGCTCGGATCGCGTTTCTTTGGAGACCTGCAGTCCAAGAATGGGCCCGGGACAGGGTCCGGAAGGGGATCGGAAAGGTCCAAAGTGTACGACGTGAACATGGCCGAGGCGGAGCACTCTGAAGAAATCAACATGGCGGCCCAGGAGGACGAAGTGGCTGAGGAAGAGGTCTTCGCCTATTTCTTCGAGCAGTGCGACGAGGATGCTCTCTACATTGCTGAGTTTGAGGACGGCATCATAGAAGCTGTTCAGGAGTCAAATCTTGCCCCGGTGTTCTCGGCTTACCAAGAAGCCAGAAGCAGACTGCGGGAGAAAGCGCGATCCCGTGGGTTTTGGCCTTTGAGCAAGGGAGCCGGCAAGAACCCGAAGGGCAAGGGCTACAGCAAGAAGGGGCAGAGCTTCGGAAAGGGGAAGCGTCCCCGCACACTGGCAGAGCGCATCTCGACAAGCGCCTGTCGCCTGTGCGGCGCTGTTGGACATTGGAAAAGGGAATGTCCAAGGAATCCCGAAAACCAAGGCGGCAGCGGCAAGATGGAGGTTTCCAACATGGCCGTTTTGGACAAGGACGATGACGACAACAGCAGCAAGCCCTCGCACGAATTTCTCCAAGAACTGCCGGAAGACACGATCATGTACATGGATGACCTTAGCCTGGATGAGGACCAGGCCACCGCGGCAGAGCAACAGGCAGGAGAACTAATTAATCAACATGAGCATTTCTGCTTCATGACACCTGAGGTGCAGCCAGGCAGATGTATAGGTGATGCTCTTGCAAGCAAGTTGTTAACGATTGCCAGGCCACGTGCCAGCAAATCTCTGCATGGGGACCAGAAGATCGACGACTGAGGTTCGGAAGCAGCACGAGCACGGCCTTCCCAGACCCGATAGCCACCACCTAAAGGAGACTGTGTTAATAGCTACCGTTGGGGCTGAGGGTGTTGTAGACACTGGGGCCAGCAGGACTGTTGTGGGCAGTGATCGGGTCAAAGGGATTTTGGCAAGTTTGAGCACAGAGTGCCGTCGCAACATCAGGCAGGTAGCTTCGAAGGTGACCTTCCGTTTCGGAAACAGTGGCACGCTGGACTCAAAACATGCTTTGCTGATTCCCACCTCAGGCAGCGCTTGGATCAGGGTGGAAGTGGTTCAGGGTGCGACTCCTTTGTTAATTTCGAAGAGGTTTCTAAGGGAGCTTGATGCTATTATCCATGTTAGACGGGGTCTGATTGAGATTTCGGGGGCCTATGTTCAAATGAGGGTAGATTCTAAGGGTCTGTCTGTTGTAGATTTTGCAGAGCTGATGCAGCATGCCACCGCCACAGCAGACACATTGTTGGCAGAAAGCAAGACAGACACAGCTACTCCGAAACAAGCAGCAAGCATCAGGAGCAACAAAGAGGGCACAACAGATCCCAGCACCATATCCACTTTGAGCGCGCCACCGCCTTCAGCGGATCAACGTCCACAATCCTTGTGCAAAGTGCCCGTTCCCGAGCTTCGCTCCTCTCAGCATGCCGTCGGCAGCCGAAAAGAAGACCCTCGCGAAGGCCCTCGAGACCGTGCGGCCAATATCATATCCTGCCCGGGCCCCTTGAACTCGGACGGTCCCTCTGCAGAAAACGGCATGTCTGACAATGAACTGCGGAACCAGTGCTTGGATCTGTTCTATCACTGGGCTGCCCTCATCATAGTAGACCCGACCCTTAGGGGGAACATCCGCATTAACCGATTGAAACACATCTTTCCAGGTGCTTTCCTTACAAGGGGCTTCGAGAACAGATCCTGGCACGGGTTGTTTGCCATTCAGCCTGCGTCTTTTAAACACATGACGGACAGCATGTTCTGGATCAGAGCCTTGTATCCCACTGCTCACACCCACTAAGATTTCTGAAGCCAGTAACGGAACATCCCCGAACTCTAGAAGACACCCGGCTACCTGACTTGCAAAAGCGCGAGGCTGAAGTGCTTGCGTGTTTTGTGGTGCTCGTGGTGTTCTTGCGTGGGTGCTTGACCCGGATGCTGCCGCTGCCTTGTTGCTGGGAAATCTCTCGTCAAGCTTGTGGTGCATGTTGCGGGAGGTGGTGTGGATAACACTGTGGGGTCTCATGCGAGTCTTGGCGCATCCGGCTCTCAGCTGCAGAGTGCCCTCCTGTATCTCCAGGATCTCCGGCGGCATATGGTTAAAGAAACTTGGCCCCCCATTCAAGTGAAAATGCCGGCCATTTTCCATTTGATACAGGAAGATCTCTACCAAAAGTCGAGCTGGCCAAAGTGGCTTGCGTGCATGATGTTGCCATGGTGTCTGGACATCGACCCACACATGCTTGGGCTCGTAGAACTGAATGATCTTCCAGAGTCGGTCTGCTGACCCCAAACGATCATCTAGGTGCTTTATACTTGATTGAAAACCAAGGCCCTTCCTCCTTTCTGCTTTACGGCTGTACAGACTGCATTGCCAACCCCTGCGGTAATCTCCAGAACATCCAAAGCTGCATCACATATTTGGATTGGTGGGAGGCCTCGGCCTCGATCTGGGATTCGATCTCTCGAATCCGCCCATCAATCTGCTCACATAATGCCACCATTTGGGCATCCAAAGGTCTCAGGGCAGCAGGGTTCCCTGAACAGCTCAGCCCTCCTCCTCGGACTCGTCCGGGTGCTGCTGCGACTGCTGCCGCGCTTGCTTCTCGATCTTCTCGATCTGAACCAACTCGCGCTGCAGGAGCGCACGCCGCTGAGCCGAGTCCTCGTGGTTGACTTCGATGTTCATGTCCTTGCTGCTCCCGGTCTTGTCCTTGCCGGCTCGCTTCTTGGACTTGTCTGTCTTGGCCGTCTTGACCTCCTCGGGAAGGCACTCCCATCCATCGTCCTTGTCGTTCGATGTCTTCTCCTGATGGCTGGGCGTCGTTCCCTTCTCCGTGAGGATCTGCGCTGACTTCCGGAGTCTGTCCCGGACATAATTCTGAAAGTTGAGCGCCCAAGGTGCTTTGAGCTCCCGGTTGGCAATCCACAGGGCGTAGTCCAGGTCGAGACCAAAGGCTTGGTCGTGTGTGCGACCTTTGTGCTTGCCGTCCGTCAAGGTCACCTTGCCCCAGGCATCCATGGTGGATATCCCGGGGGGACGGTTGTATTTGACATTCCGGTACTCGCTGAGATCCACCGACGCCACCAGGCGTACATCCTCTTCTCCAGACAAGTTGCCCTCGGCATTCGCAGAATTCCCCTAAGGAAGACTATGGTAGTTAAGCGGGATACTGAGGAGATAGTCAAAGATGGGCCCACGGAGAACTGGACAAGGATTCCAAAGTACCGTCGCGGACGGAAAGGGATTCCTGCTCGCTTTAGGGTTACGGTTTTCGGGGCGCCTAGAGACGTGGAGCCTAGTGTAAGGGAACCCCAAAGAGCAAGCGGCAGTGATTCCGTTCCGGCTGTGAGGCCAGAAGTTGAGTCAGCCACCGAGGCTGTGGAAAATCCAGGCACTGCAGCTTTAGAGCAAGCCATCCCAAGCAGCGAGCCAGTCAGCATGGAGACGGAGATGCCAACGGATGTTCCAAAGGGTTTAGAAGTAGGGTTTCCTCCCCGAGCTATTCCCCGGCATGGGCCAGGATACATGTCCTTGAACACTGAAGAGAGGAGGGAGTTAGTTAGGCTGCACAACAATTTGGGACATCCTGAGGCGACTCTGTTTATGAAATTTCTAGCCGAGCGCAAAGCAGAGCCG